AGAGCCACTAATCCCGTTCCAAATGAAAATCCAACAAAACCTCAACGATCAAAATTCAAATCAAACTACTCAAATCCTCTCATCCTACATGATTTATTGAGAACCCCATCTTTTCAATCTTGTCCTTCTTGACACTAAGAACAAAAAAGCATCAAAACATAAAAGAATAATCAATCCATCATTTGATCAATCATTTGAACAATCACACAAAGAAAATCATGATCAAATTAACAATGAACCAAAAGTAGAACCGACCTCTTGAAAAACTTATTGAAATCGAATCAAAACTTATTGGAATCAAATCAAAACTTATCATGAAATCGAATCAAAACTTATCATGAAATCAAATCAAAACTTATCGGAATCGAATCAAAACTTAGTGGAATCAAATCAAAACTAAAATCAAATCAAAATCAAGAGTCGATCCCAAAATGAAATCAGAAGAATTGACAGCTGATTTCAAAAGTAACGATAGATTCAAATTCAAACAAAGGATGATGAATAAAGAGACTTGAGGTACTTTTTCTGATTGAGGGCTCTCATCCTCCATTGACTATCTCCATGTCTGATCCTATCTATCTCATTTGTAGCCAACAAGTGTACAAATTGTTTTGATTTTCATTGAATAAAGTAGGAGCTTGATTTTCTGTTGGGTTATGATAATAGATAAGCTGCAAGAGAATGAACGAGACAACTTTGAAATGATCTATTATCTAATGCCAATAAGGGGGGAAACCTTCAAGGGTCCCTTCATTCTTGATGCCTATATCAATTCTACATTAACATCAATTGATATAAAACAATGAAACCAGATGATGCTTGCTGTGTGATCTCTATAACATTCAAAACTTCCAGTCTACATGATTTCAATCTTGATATGAATTTAGAAACCTCTTTATACAAATTTAGAAACCAGGTCATCTTGTCAAAGCTGGTGTTTTAGCTTTGTCTTGTTGCTGACTTTGTTTGGTGATCTAAAGAGATGTTTTCTTTGATCATTTGTCAATCACAAGACCATGATTGACATTGTTTTCATACTTATAACAATATTTTACATACATACACGGGTGGGAGGATGAACTTGCAAGTCAAGGAGCTTTTTGGTTTTTGTTGTGGGTAAGTTGGTGAGGTGCTTGATGGGGAAAATCTCCTCATGAAGTTGATTGGTCATGCTGTGATTGATCATCTTATTGATTGTAAGGAGTTGTGGTGAGGTGAAGATTGTACTAGTACTACAATACTACACTTGGTATAGTATAGTATAGTATAGTATAGTGTAGTCAAGTACTATACTATACTATACTGTCGTTTGTTAAGTATAGTCTAAACTATACTATACCTGGTATAGTACTATACTGGTATAGTATAGTATAGTGGCAGTGTTGCTTGTGGCAATATAAACTCCTTTTAAAGAACCCAAAATGAAAAGGAAGATGTACATACAAAGAAACAATTAAACATTTTGTATTGGTACAATTCTGTTGTACTGTGATTGCAACACACATCTAATAAACCATTTTGATTTTGTTGCAAAGCAGACACAATGATGGTATAGGCATTGCAACTTTGGTGAGGCCACAACAATATCAAAATGCAATACAATTGATTGTATTGCTCCAGTTGTGTTGCTGGGTGATTTAATTCCTTCTAGAAAGGTGTAGTATGTTTGTACACAGAATGAATGTGCAAAAATGAAAAGTCCTCTGTGGGCAGGAAGATTTGAAGGCCAAATTGACCCTTCCATCCAACTATTCAAGTCTTGGACTTTTTCAATATGAAATGCCCACTGTGTATGCTCTCAAGCGGGAAACTCAAAGACAAGATAATCAGCTGCAAAGTCCTAGATAAGAATTTGAGCTTGGATTGCATTCATGACCAAATAAAAGATGAACTTCACTGCCTCCCACCAGATCAAACCTCACCAGACAAAATAAACTTAGGTGTCAGTGTGTTAAACAAGATCATTATCAACACTGCACACACTCAAGGTAAATTAGTTGAAACAATCCCAAAGAAACATAAAATATGGTGGGATGCAGATACCCTCAACCCAATCCTAAGAAAAATGTGCAAGACAATGAGTTTGAATCCCCCCAAAGCCCATGCATGCTACTTCAAGTGGCAATGATACTTCAGAGCACAAACTGTCAAATGTAAATCAGATTGCTGGAAGAGATTCTGTGTGTCACATTCAGGCAACATGGCATTCAAGGTGTCCAAATTTACTGAACCAACAATGTCCAATACTGTAATCAAGATGGCTCTATTGCTACAGAGGAACCACAACAAGCTCAATTTCTATTTGAAGGCACCTCAGTTGCACACATAGGCACTGATCCTTAAAGTTTCTAGCATCCCTAGGAATGCCCCCCATATTCCCCAACACTTACATCTCACAATATACCCAAAGGAATTATCAAGAATTGTGAATGCCGCTAAACGAAAAAAGCTAAAGGAGGCAATAACATGTCAAATGAACTCCTGAAAATTGCATTCCCAGCAATTGAATTAGAGCTTTGTAGATTATTTAACACATGTTTCACTCTAGGTCATTTTCCAGATATATGGAGAACTGCAATCACTATCATCCTAAGGAAAGCAGGCAAAGACAAATACTCAGATCCAAATGCATACAGAACAATAGCATTGCTCAGTTGCCTAGGGAAAATGCTGGAGAACATATCACCAGCTGCCTCACTTACTGCATCTGCATGAAAGCTTGTATTTTTTTGAAACACACAAATTTGACCCCAAAAAGAAATTTACAAAAATAACAAAACATGATCAAATCATCAATACTTGATCAAAACACATCAATGATTGATAGATTTTGATTTTTCTAATAATCTTCCAGCTTCAACATTATATGCTTCCATCTTATAAAAATGTGCTTGTGTTGCTTGTGAGATTACTTCAATTTGACTACTATCTTGTTGCAATTTTTGTAATTATGATATTTTTTGTCCAAGATTCAATTCATTTAGAGCTGATGCCTATACTCTTGAAATAAGAGTGTATATTGATCAATCTTACCTGGAGATTTGACATTTTCTGTCTTCACATTTCTTGATATCTAAAACAGCTAGAAACCTACCTTTGAAGATCCTTGAACTGATTATTGGTGTACTTCTAACATAGAAATCTTCAGTAAGATCTCAGGATATTTGAAAAAAATTGTGTGATTAATGACCTGTATGTGAGAAGGTTGTAAGAAACAAGGATAAAAGGTCATCACCTGTAGAATGAACAAATTAACAAAATGAGAACAATCACAGAGATGAAATGAACTCACCTCAATTTCTAAATCTGAAGTGGTTGTACTGCCTGCAGTAAATCCACACAGGAGGTTGGCATCACAGTCTGGTGGCA